AGAGAAACAGCTTTCCACAAACTCAACAGTGTGATTCTCGAGATTCATGTCAAACTAAGGGCAGTCTGCTCTTTCAAGTTCAACTTTTCTTCCTCCTCTAGTACTAGACTACTAAGACCAGAAAAAAAACACAATTATGTGAAAATTTATCAGCTTTTATGACACTACACTGCCTCGAAGACAGCTTAAATAGCAGTGAAACCGAAAGACGCGCGGAAGTGCAGGAAACAAGATGTTAAATTCAACAAAAAATCCGAGAACTCATACCTTCAGTGGATTATTTGGATTTTCGTCTTTATATTATTACAAACGACTCAGGAAAAACGACAGATCTGATATTTATAACTATTGCTGAAGATCTACGGCATCAGTTATTCAGGCAAACCGCTAACATATTATACCTGGAATTTTCCTCGCCCTTGCTGATTAGTGAAGTCTTTTGTGTCTCTGCAAACGCTAACTCTCAGCATGTTCGCATCCAGGGCATATATTTGAAATTCGGTCATGATCGGATCTTCGCCACGCTAAAAACACGCACAGTTACAATCATTGATGCACAAAATACTGTACAGAATATTGGCCACTCCATATTGTCGCGACGGAGGAAAAAAAGTGCAGTAGCAAAGCATTTTAAATTTACCAAAAAATTTTGCTGAACACTTCCAAAATGCTACCTGTAGTCCAACTTGGCGCAAAAAGAACGAGACATTGCCAACATCTTCTTCGCGTTTTCCATTCGGGTACACATGCAATTCCCAGGTGACTGTAGGCGCCTGCGGGCATCCAAACTGCTTGCTTATCAAATTATGGCCATTTTTAAAAAGCTTCATCAATTTTTCGAACTGAAAACAGCAGTTTACAGGTGAAAAGTTCACTCTGCAAAATTTGATTATGTTTTAAGGCAAGCAGCACAAAAATGCAGATCAAACAATACAGCGCGAGAACAGCGTGGATTGCATACAGCCTGGGATCGTCCCAGCGATGCCCGTGTGTGTTAATATAGAATTTTAAAAAGACGAAAAGCAAAGGCAAGCAAAATGAAGAGACATACAGAGATGGAAGGTGGGAAAATCAAAGAAC